GCTGCAGCAAGGTATTGGTGTGCCAAAGTTGCTCTAACAGTGGGGGTGGGGTTAATCTTGAATCTTGAATCTAATCACTGTTTACAGGATAGCACTTGTACCCACAAAATATGATTTAATTACTGTGCCAAGCAAGTCTTAAGCTGGCCATGGATTGAAATTTGGCTGGTTCAGCAGGGACCTGCCAAATTTTATTGCATGCATGGCCACTGTGGTTGGACAGAAGTGGATCTACCAATAGACTTCTGTACAAATGACCTGTCAGAAAAAAGCTGCTCAATCAGCACTGCAGGCACTAGCCTGCAGTGCTGATCTTTGTATTCAGATGGTGGGGGAGACTCCTCGCTGCCAGAATTCAGTAGTGTAGCAGGGAGGTGAATGGTGCAATCGGGTCATTTTTTTTTTGTTCTACCCACTGGTTGAATTAAGAAAACTACCCATGTATGGCCAGTTTTACAGACATGAACAAACCTCAGCATATTCATTTGTAAAAAATTAAGCTCTTCTATTATGTATGCTTTTCTGCTCACAGCTTGACTTCAGGAAGAACCCCAGTAACTACTGAGCAATGAGCAACTGTTATACAATAAAAAGAGTGCAGTGGTCAAAAATATTTCATATACAACCAAGGGTACAGAATGCAGTGGTCAGGAGTATTTCATACACATCCCTCCCAGTCATGAAATGGTGTCCTCCCCAAGACCCTTTCCTGCACAGCACAATCCACTTTGTGGCTCTCTCTGCTCTTCCTTTAGGGACACTTTCTACTTTCTCACCTTTCTCCAGCTCCCTGCACCATGCAAGCTGTGATGTGTGTCAAGCTGGGTTAAAAGTCTGGCCATCCATGCAACTGATCAGGTTCCTCCTCTCTTCCCTGCTAGCTGGGCTGTCCTTCCATGGACCAGGGGGAGGAGGAGTAAGCTGGCATAAGGATGCATGGACTGTGCAGGTCATGCCCATAAAATGGCCATCAGCCTGCACCAGGGATGGATGTTAATTTGGGGCTCCTATATTCTTCCCCTTCATATGCCACTGAAAGTAGTGGAAAGTTCAATATTTCCAAATGCAAAATAATACACACAGGGAAAAATATTTCTCTCAGGGTACAATATTGGAGGTACATGTTGGTCAAAGGTACAGAAGAAAAAGATTTGGGTATGATTATTTCAAATGATTGCAATATGAGCAAACAGTGTGGCCAGGAAATAGGGAAAGCAGTAGGATTGTGGGGTGCATCACTACAGGGATCATAAGAGGGAAAAGGAGGTCTTGGTTCCCCCAAATAGATCTTTAAAGGCTAGGTTCACCTTAACAAAAATGAATCTACACACGTTTTTGCAGGAATAATGTGGATAACGAGTGAAATGTCAACCTGCAATCTCTTCTTCTAGCTCTCTGCCCATACCTCTGTATGAGCTGTCAGTGGAGAGCAGGAGGGAGATTCAATGGACTGCAAGTGCACTGATTACAAAATTCATAGTCCTTCGCAGGGGCGGACTGACAACTCATGGGGCCCCCCGGGCAATAGGGAATCATGGGGCCCCTGTATCCTTGCCCATCTCAAAAAAGCCTATGAAAAAGGTACCAGGGGCATCTCATGGGGCCCCCTACTGACCCCGGGCCCTTGGGCAGTGCCCGAGTTTCCAAATAGTCAGTTCGCCCCTGGTCCTTTGAGAACTGCAAGCCTGTCTGCCATGGTGGAAGACAGGCCTTGCAGTTCATTCATTTACAGATTTAACAGCCGCTGCAATAAAGTAGAACCTCTGCCTGCTGTCACAGAAGTATTGTGAGAGTGGAAGGGAGGCATTTTCACCATGTTACATGTTACATTCTAAATACGGGCATAACCTGAAGCAAGAGGTGAACTTAGCTTTTAAATAGGTCTATGCTGTGTTCAGTTCTGGAGACCTCAGTTACAAAAAGATATTGATAAGATAAAACAAGTCTGCCAGAGACAAGCAACAAAAATGGTTAATGGATAAAACATATCAGGAAATTATTATGTATAGTGTTCAGGGGAAAAAGGAAAAGGGGGACATTACTGAAATCTTTAAATACACTAAAGCTGGCTACACATTATACAATTTTTTTCTTGAGTTTTACCTTCAACTATGTAGTGCAAGGGCCTGCCTGATTGCATACAATTTGAACGTGTTTAACCTCACATTATATGGTTTTGGTAAATCTAAAGGAAATTGTACAAACAACAATTGTATAATGTGCAGCCAGATTAAGGGTATGAATAAGACTCGGGAAGCCAGTGTCTTCAATATAAAGCTAAGATTAAGGATATGACCTCAAACCAGCAGGGAAAATGTTCAAAATTAATTTTAGAATGTATTGTTTTATGGAAAGTGTAGTGGATGCTTGGAACAGACCTACTGCAGTGGGAGTAAATCAACAGTAAGAGAATTTAAACATGCATGGGACAAAAGGGTTAAAATATAAAGTATAAAAAAATAAAATCCAAATGTTAAAAAGAAGACTCCAACAAAACAAAAAATAAGAAAAGAAGCAGACTCGATGGTCTACTTGGTCTTTTACTACTGCCACTATCCTATGTTTCTATTACATATTAATATTTTATACTTGTGCAGTTCTGCGCTTTGCATATGTTTAAAAAGACTAAATCTTATTGCTTTGTTAAGAGAAACCTGTTGTTTACAGAGTTCAATAACTAAAGCTCAGATTTTTACACAGCTGAACAAGTCATGTTTTTCTACAGTAGCACCTAAATATTCCAGTTCAATTTGTTGTTTCTGATAAGACATTTGCTCACATGATGTTCATTTAAGCCAATAAAGTATTGTAAAGAATGAGCTGTCATATAAATATTTTTTGGTCACTTTTGAATTATAGTCTGGGTAAATCCCCACATTTCCCCTTCCCCCATTTACTTACCATGGTTGTTCTTTGCTGACTTTACGGGGTTATAGAGGTTTTTTGGAGGACGAGATGGTCCATTGTCATGTTGCCCTGAAGTCACAGTTGTGCTGTTATTTCGTTCTCCATGGCTCCCTGCAACGGACTGGTGGCGGAGGATGTCCACAAGAGCTCTGAAAGAGTGATACAGGTAAACACCATACATTATGCCATATAAGAAAAAATGTCTGGAATTAAAGTGTGTTTAAGGGTAGTTTTTTGGAATTTTGGACTGAGTAGGGAAGGCCTAGAATGCCTATCACATTTTTCTGGGAATATATTTTTTGTCTTTTCTTTGGTTAGCTATACACTCACAGATAGCCCATCAGCTAAACAAGAAAAGTCAAATAGTGACTGTATATGATAGGATGGAGTCACTGTTCGGGCAAAAATTTCCACTTGGTTCTTGTGTTTGTTAAAATAGCTTTTTGAGCCAAATAGTGCTGACATGGTCACCCATGACTCAAATTTCCTGATAAATCAGCCAAAATTCAAGCCACATATGACCAGCTTAAGTATCCTGGTTACCATTGTCATCAGGACTGAAATCCTAAATTTTGTGTTTTTGCTGGAAAAGGAATAGAGGGGGGATCCTCAGAAGGGGACATTTCTTCCAGTGACAACAAATTAAAAGGGGAATCACCCCACTTTGTAAACATTTCTTCTAACTTCCATCTCTAAGACAGAAAGCGAAGAGAAATCTCACCAATAGGGTACACAGCAAAAAATAAACTGACACAGGTCTTAACCCTTCCTTACTATATCCAAAACAAAACAAGAAAAGTTTTGGCAATACTTACACTTTAAGTAAGCTACAAAAATTACAAAATATAGGATAGAAGCATTAGAGTCTGCCTTTGTTTTTTAGCTACAGTACTGTGCAAAAGTTTTAAGCAGGTGTGAAAAAAATGCTGTAAATTAAAAAAAGCGTTCAGAAATAGAAGTATTAATAGTTTATTTTTATCAATTAACAAAATGAGTTAAAAGAAAATTAAACGAACAGAAGGGAAATCCAAGTCAAATCAATATTTGTTGTGACCACCCTTTGCCTTCAAGACAGCATCAATTCTTCCAGGTACACTTGAAAACAGTTTTTGAAGGAACTTGGCTGGTAGGTTCTTCCAAACATCTTGGAGAACTAACCACAGATCTCCTGTGGATTTTTCACTAAATTTGTATCGCTAGTAACTGATCTTAAGTCATTTGTATGTGACCACTGCAGATGCTTCATTAGGCTATTGATGTCCTGCTGTAAAATAAATTTGGGGCAAATCACACACCTCCCTAATGGTATGGCATGATGAATAAGTTTCTGCCTGTATTTCTCAACACTGAGGACACCATTGGTCCCAACCAAAAGTCCAACTCCATTTCTCAAAATGCAACCCTAAACATGCAAGGAACCTTCACTATGCTATGTTGCCTGCAGACACTCATTAGTGTACCACTCTCCAGCCCTTTGTTAACAAACTGCCTTCTGCTACAGCCAAATATTTAAAATTTTGACTTATCAGTCCAGAGCACCTGCTGCCATTTTTCTGCACTCCAGTTCCTATATTTTTAAGCATAGTTGAGTTGCCTAGCCTTGTTTCCACATCGGAGGTATGGCTTTTTGACTGCAATTCCTCCATGAAGACTGCTTCTGGCCCTACTTCTCCGGACAGAAGATGGACGTACCTGGGTTCCACTGGTTTCCGCCATTTTTGTGCTGATGACACTGCTGGACATCTTACGATGTAGAAGGGAAGTATGCACAATGTGTCTTTCTGCTGCTGTATTAAGTTACGTGGCTGACCACTGCATCTACAGTCCTCAACTTTGCCCCAATCAATGGTGTCCTCAATGCTAAGAAATACAGGCAGATACTTATCCATTATGCCATACCATCAGGGAGGTGTGTGATTGACCCTAAATTTATTCTGCGGCAGGACAAAGACCCCAAACATACAGTCAATGTCTTTAACCTCCTCCTGTCTGCCATATAGTAATATGATGGAAGCACGGTGGTTCTCTGGCTCTGGTAGGACGTCATATGACGTCCTCCCATTCTAACCGTGCATGCGCGGCTCCCGAAGCGTGCAGCGCAGCGATCGGTGATGCGCTGTGTCCCTCGGACACAGTAGATCACCAATCCACGGAAAGAGCCGAAGATGTCGGCTCGGTCATGTTATCAGCTGTGTCCAATCACAGCTGATCACATGTAAACAGGGAAATGCCGGTTATCAGTTATTTCTCTCCCCACGAGCTGTCAGCTGTCTCTCCCCACGAGAGGAGAGCCGGTAATCGGCATTCCTCGGAGGGGACATGTACACAGATCATCAGAGCACTGATGATCAGTGTGCCCTGATGATCTGTGTAGCCCCAGCAGCGCCACCTGTCAGTGTCCATCAGTGCCAGCTCTCAGTGCTCATCCATGCCACCTGCCAGTGCCCATCAGTGCTCCATTTCAGTGCCCATCAGTGCCACATCAATGCCACATATCAGTGCCCATCTGAGCTGCCTTTCAGTGTCACCCATCAGTGCCAGTCAGTGCCACCTAACAGTGCCAGTCAGTGCCGCCTATCAGTGCTAGTCAGTGCCGCCTATCAGTGCCACCTATCAGTGCCATATATGAGTGCTGCCTTTCAGTGCCCATCAGTGATGCCTGTCAATGCCCATCAGTGCCACCTACCAGTGCCTCCTCATCAGTGCCCATCAGTGCCACCTATCAGTGCCCGTCACTGCAGCCTCATTAGCACAAATCAGTGAAGGAGAAAAATTATTTATTTACAAAATTTTATAACAAAAACTAAGAAAAACTTTTTTTTTTTCAAAATTTTCGGTGGTTTTTGTTTTTTTTAAGAAAAAATAAAAAACCCAGAGGTGACTAAAAACCACCAAAATAAATCTCTATCTGTCACAAAAAAATGATAAAAATTTCATATGGGTACAGTGTTGCATGACCGCGCAATTGTCATTCAAAGTGCAACAGCGCTGAAAGCTGGAAATTGGCCTGGGCAGGAAGGGGGAATAAGTGCCCTGTAGGCTAGTGGTTAAGAACTATCTTCAGCGTAAAGAAAAAGGAGTCCTGGAATTGATGGTTTGTCCCCCACATCTCCTGATCTCAACATCCTTGAGTCTGTCTGGGATTACATAAAGAGACAGAAGGATTTGAGGCAGCCTACATTCACAGAAGATCTGTGGTTAGTTCTCCAAGATGTTTGAAACAAGAAAAAGAGAGGAAGGCACCTCTAAGTGCAGTATTGACAATTTATTAAGTAAACAATGGAAAATTTGCACTTACAAGATAAACGCTTAAAAAGACTCATCGTTTCGTGATTAGATCCAGGTGGGACATCCAGCCGTCCAGCAGCAAACTATGCCTACAGGATCAGGAAGTAGAGTCCAGGATGTGCATTTCGGAGCATGCTCAATAGGCTCCTTCTTCAGACCTCAGAGGTCTGAAGAAGGAGCCTATTAGGCATGCTACGAAATGCATTACCGCCCCCTTCACCTGCCACATCTGACTCTGCTCTCCAAGCATCATTTTTGATGCACAGGCACATCCTGGACTCTACTTCCTGATCCTATAGGCATAGTTTGCTGCTGGACGGCTGGATGTCCCACCTGGATCTAATTACCACACGATGAGTCTTTTTAACCGTTTATCTTGTAAGTGCAAATTTTCCATTGTTTACTGAATAAATTGTCAATACTGCACATAGAGGCGCCTTCCTCTCTTTTTCTTGTTACTGCATTAGAGCCTTGCTTCCACTCTAAGAAGAGCTGCCTAAGTGTTACTGCTCCCATCCATCCATCCCTGATATCCATCTGGCACCTTTATCTTACAGCTACAGAGGTTGGGCTCCAACAAGCGCGCCCTATATAATATACATTTTCAAGATGTTTGAAACAACCTACCTGCTGAGTTCCTTCAAAACTGTGTGCAAGTGTACTGAGAAGAACTGATACTGCTTAAATGGAAAGGGTACACACCAAATATTGATTTGATTTGGATTTCCCCAAATGTTTTTTTTTTTGGCTCATTTTGTTAATTGAAAAAAAAACTTTTGACACTACTATTTCTGAAAGCTTTTTCAATTTCCAGCATTTGTTCACACTTGTCTAAATCATTTGCACAGTATTGTATGTACAGTATATTTTAGTTTTGTTTTGCTTGTGTTATCGAGCTTCTTGTACCATTAAAGGGAATGCAAAGTGGCTTTCATACATATTATTCTGATCATAATAAAAAGCTCTGGTCTCTTTTTGGCCAAACTGGCCTTAAGTTTTTAAAATTAAAATAAGCATTGGTAACAAAGTATAATAGTTCAAACTGGAATGTACACAACTGAAAGAGTGAAAGGAGCTACTCATCTGTTTCTTCACCCAACTCCTGCTGTGTACAGACACCTCTGTATAAAGTTAAGCTCCCCACAAATGTGGAGGATGCAGGAATTTTCCCCTGCTGGGACATTGTATTCTGACAGTAGGACCTGAAGCTGTCAGAACATACTGATCAGTGGCTTGCAGCAGATTGAAAGCCCTTTCCCAGGTCTTTCCTCAACCTTCCTCAAATATTCAGACTTGGCCTGGCATGCAAAATATGATAACACATATGCACAGCCAATTGCACTTACACATTATGGCCAATTTAGATAGGAACCAATTAACCAACCAGCATGTCTTTGGAGTACGGAAGAAAACCTAAGCAAACACAGGGAGAACATGCAAACTCCATGAAGATAGTCTCCTGGCTGAAATTGGAACTAAGGAAAGCAGAAATGCAAGGCATAAGTGGTAACCACCAAGCGACTATGCCACCCTTGCAAAGATTTACCTGACACCAACTGGCACAAGTAAGTGCACCCATTCATTTAATAACTGGTTTTAGTGGCTTATGCTCCAAAAACTACAAATGAGAGCTCACTAATATTCAAGATCTGTTTTTGACATCATTGTTAAGCAATTTTAACTCAAAATTGCTTTCAGTCGGAAAAGTATAAAATGCTCATTTGAAGCCATGTCATGTCTTTTCTATTGTGTTTAGGGCTTGGCTTTGATTAGGTCAGGCTAGGAACAGATTCAGGGTTTTTTTAGCCATTGTGATATAGACTTGCATTTATATTCTGGTTTAATATCTTTCTGTATGACCCAACTTCACTTCAGTTTGTGGATCTTTTGCTGCTGACAGCTCATCATCAGTTTAGTTTGGTGCTGAGCAGTCAGCAGAACAATGAGGATTGTTAGCACTGGACAAGATGAGTATACCTAAGTTTAGTTTCATGGTTAAGGTTGGAGACAGAATTAAAAAAATAGGTTAAGTTTAAGGTTTGGGGAAAGTTAGGTGTTAAGGCATCATTTTAGAGGTTATATTAAATGTTAGGGTGAGAATTATTGTTAGAGTCAGTTAAATGTTAAGGTTTAAAGGCTTAGGGTTAAAGTACAAATAAAACAAAACTTTTTTTTTAGTTTTGGATACAGTACAAAGGTATTAGCATGCTTGTCAATATTATTGCTGTCTGTGCCCCTTTTAAGGAGATTCCCCCTTTCTATTTGTCCTGTTTAGCATTATCAATCCCACATTTTGGGTTGTCCCCAGAAAAGTAATAGAGGGGAAATCTTCCTAAGGGGGCACTTGATCTGGTGACCTGGAGGTCCCCAAGGAATTCCCTTAATTTGCCTGCAATGCTTATCAGTGTATTCTGACAGCAGGGAAGTCTCCCCATGGTCAGAATTCAATAGCTCAGCCGTGAGGATTCTCTCATCCTGAGTGTGTAGATGGGGAAATCAAGTCAGTCAACCCGCTGGTATCACCTATGGGCTACCTAAGTGTATCATTTACTAATTGTAGAATGACCTGAATGTCATTAAGTTTGAATTGTTAGACTGCAACAGAAAAGCAGTGGGAGGACTGTATATGGTGCAAATTGATATGCTAGTGATGGGGGGTGCTTTAGAGAGGGAATAGTTTGGAACAATTCAGGGAGCTTTAGGGTTGCACATTTTCTCAGTTCAATAACTCTGCTCCAAAAACTGTCAGCATTAAACTTTCACTGTATTATTCATGGATGGGTGTAGAACATTACCATTTTTAATTTTCTGATATAAAGCACTTTTTAAAATAATTTTTACAGGCTCCCTAGGTTTGGCTGTGCAAAGCATCCCTAAAGCATCCGTCACTGATCCACTTGACAGTCGTGAAATTTCTACAGCAGAATGCTGTGTTGGGTTTATGGTGAGATCCGAGTCATCTAAAAAGTTCCTATTTTTTCTCATTATTCATAAACCATTCTCCCAAAAGATTTAGGGATCATCTAATCTCTTTCTTCAAAAATTGGAGACAATCATTAATGCTGTTCTGAAATAATTGCTGTCGATTGTCTTCCTTATTCTAAAGTTCTGAAAATCGACTATGCTGAAGATGATTAATTTTGTGGTTCTTTGAATATGTTCTTTTAAAATGAGGTTTATGCGGAGCATTGCTGGCTGTATTCAGTTGACTTTATCCCTTCGGTTAAATTGGGTTAAAAAAATGTTCTTTTAATACATAACCAGTTGGCGTTAGATGGCCTTGTTCAGTCAATAAATGAGAACGGTAAAATAATTTGTATTATTTGTGCTTTTGTATCTAATATTATATTAAAATGGCTCTAAATTATTTTATCACATGGTAGCGTTCTCTGAAAAGGCAAAAGTTATTATTATAATGCTGTTCTCTTCTTTACCTATGTGGATTCTATTTGATGGGTATTTATATTGTTAAAGTGTAACTCCAGGCAAGCAGCTAAATACACAGTTGAAATGTAATACAAATAACCATTTTAGCTCACACACAAAAGACTAGTCTCCAAGGAAACTGTAGTGGAAAGGCTGACTATGTACCAGTCCTATAGCTGAAGCTAGAAGTAGTATATCCACACAACACAAGAGAAATATTTGGTGCACTAAGAGGAAAAAAAACAGATGTATAGTGTGATGGCTAGTATATTAACCACACAAATAAAGTCCTTAAAGTCCAAAGGTGGTTAAGGGATATTCCAACAATCCTTGACTCAGTGGCAGCCAATTCAAAAAGAGCTAGAAGAGACTTAGTGTGAACCAGGGGCAGACTGACAACTCATGGGGCCCCCGGGCAATTGGGGATCATGGGGCCCCTGTGTCCTTGCCCACACTCAAAACACACCCAAAAAAGCCTATAAAAGATACCAGGGGCATCTTATGGGGCCCCCGACTGACCCCGGGCCCTCGACTGACCCCGGGCCCTCGGGCAGTGCCAGAGTGCTCGAATGGTCAGTCCGCCCCTGGTGTGAACCATAAAAGAGAGAGAAGCAGCGCCATCTAAGTGCAGCAATAGAAGCAAATAATTTATTCCACAAAATTACCAACTCACAATAGTAGTCAAATAAGCGCTTGTCAAACTGGTGTCAACCGCTGTGCAACTCCTGGCTGGTCCCGCTGCAGGAAAGCCTCCAAAGAACTGTCCTTGGCTGTGCTGGTGGTTCCCAGTACTTCCTGGCTGGTGTGGATCCTCAGGGCAG